TATGTATGTATGTATGTATGTATGTATGTATGTATGTATGTATGTATGTATACTCTTCCGTACATGAAGGAGCTATGATAAAGGTAGCCACAATATGAATACTGCAGCAATTATTTAAGTCTGCTTTTAGGCTTGGTTCCCATGTGGCTGTGAACTTTCATGGATAATGGGACCTTGCCCTGCTTTTTGAATAGCCCAAGATCCTTGCTTGTTGGAATTTGTTATTCTGTTTGATCCAGTTTTTCAGAGAAAAAGACCATAGAAAGTATACTTATTTATACTTATAACTATTGAGTAACCTGGGAAAGAGAATGGTTGTATATCTCCATTAGCCCTAATTTTCAGATTTACTGAAAGTTTAAGTTTGGAAAAAGCTATCTGTCCAACTGCCATTTGTGTGTACGCATTTATTTTTGTGAGAAAATAGCTGGGACAATAATGACCTTCGATGACTATTAGAAATACATAAATGCAGAATCATAGGATAGGATTGGGAGTCATTTGGGGGACATACTTTAGTTGAATTGCCATGTCTTCATGTCCTCCAGGTACCAATCCCCATCACTGAGATGGAAATTTCTGTGAAACGGGTAAGTAATGAATGAATTATAAAAATAAATCATCAACTTCTATCCCTTTGCGTTTTTACTATAAAATTCACTATTTAAACTAGGCATGGCCATTCCCTCTTTCATTCCTTCCAACAAATTGTAGTTTTCCAAAATATTTATCTTTTATTCTATTGGTTGAATTTCCTGCAGCATTGCTATAGATGTATTTTAAACATCTTAAATGTTTACTAAAGGAAATTGGACAAAAAAGTAATAATTAATTAACAAACAAGGTTCCTTCAGAATGCAATGCAGTGTCTTAAATGGATTTGACATAGAAAACTTACTGCTGAGACAAATGGTAAACACAAACTCAGGACCAGTTTGAACAAAAATTGCTATTAAAAAAAAGTAAAACCCAAAAATCACTGTACACAAGCCAGTAGAATATTATGCAGGTTCAGAGTTTAATCTAGTCATAGGGAGCCATGACTTCCCAATGACCAATGTTTTAGAGTTAAAATTAGATAATAATATAACCTACACTCATTTTTGTCATTTAATACTATATTAACTTTAATAAAGCAGCAAAATAACAGTTATTTTTTTAAAGAAAATTATGCAAATATTCGTAATACTGATAATAAGATAGGAATCTATGAAAATATTAATATTAATACATAAATCAAATAATTATGAATATATAAACCAGATCAATATAATTGAAAATGAATCTTCATCATATGCAAATAAATTAGATATAGAAATCAAGAATATATTAGCAAAATACAGGAAGCAGGCTGTTAATATGTATATTCTACAGTTAGAAATGAAAAAGAAAAGAATAAAGTATTTTAGAGATTAATAAAGTCACCGCACAGCTTTTATATGTAAAACAAAAATATTATGAATACAGTAATACAATTCAAAATTGAAAACAAATAGATTTAAAAATAAAGATAAAAAGATTTTGAAAAATCTCTAAAGGTCAAGCTATTACCATACTAAAATATTAATGATTAATTTATGATTTTTTTGAAAAATGTATATACTTCAAGCAATTCTTTAGTAGATGAAATTAATGATAATCTAAATTACAAATGTTTCAGTGCTGAATGGCAATCACAAGGATCAGACTCAGTAAGGAATTTTAGGAACAGCACAAGGATATTTAAATACAAGAGTTCTTATTAATATGTAATTGAATGTATTTAAGAGAAAAATCTTCCCTCATTCTGCTACAATTGTAAAATTATCCTTATTCCCAAACCAAGCAAGAAACCACACAATATAATTATATAGTGACCCATTTTTCTACTGTGAACTGATTATAAATTTTGTTATAACCCATCCCCCTCAATTATAAATAAAATTATATATCCAAATTATATATGTGCATGAATAATAATTTGGTGTGTGTATGGAGAGAGAGAGAGACAGAGAAGGAGAATTACTAAATTTTTGCAGGCAATGTGATAGATACTCAAACACAGCACATTTGTTTCATATTAAAAGGGAGCTGCAAAAGTTTGTAAAAGTATCAGCTTTAACATTTTTCCACTTTAGATTCATATGTGGAAAAAGGTCAAATTTTGGATAAAAAGTTTTTGATGAACTGAATAGTATAACTAAACAAAGAGTTCAGTTTTAGAATCTTCCATACAGTATATGTGATAAATATAGAATCAAGTAGCCAAAAAACATATTACAATTTTATTTATCTCAGTTAAATCATGAATTACTCAGCTTTACAGTTGAATAATTTACCGTGTGAAAATTGCATTATTTACTTATTTATTTATATGCCTCCCCTCTCACCAGAATGGTGTCTCATGATAAAATTTGGCCAGAAAATTTATTTGAAAAACTACAAAATGAATGTGCAAAAAACAAAAAAACAAAATGGCAAACTGTCATTTTACAGGATCGGGGGGGACGGGGACTATATTTTATAAACAATTATAAGCCATCTTCTGTCAGCCCAGAGGATATGAGGAAATCATAATATGGTCTGTAGTGAGACAATATGGATGCTAAACTAGTAAAATGCCAGCCCAAATTTTGATTATTTAAAGCTATACTATGAAATAGGAACAAAAACCTAAAGAATAGGTTCTTTATGAGAATATGGTGGTGGTGAAAACAGCTTTCAATCACCACCATGCCTGAAGCCCAACAAAACACTTCCAAGATTTTAGATGTGGTGATTTTTTGTTGAAAGATGTTAAGACCAGGGAAAGTTCAGATACCCATTCCAAAAGAATCTCTGACTTCACAGCAAACAGGGAACTATCACAATATAATTTATCTTCCTCCAATCTAGCATTATTCAGCTCTGTTGAATTCAGTAGCCATAATCTCAGATAGACTGGGAATCCTGTTTGTAAATCATAGGTTGTGTAGTCTAATATTTCAGTGGGCAGTACATTGGGGAAAACATGTCCCTGCTTTATAAACAGCGGACCACTTCCAATTATTCTCCAATATTCATTGATATGCAAATTAGAAATATGAAATCATTATTTAAATCATGCATTTCTATTTTAAATCACAGAAATCTGTTAAAAATGCTAACTGTAGTTTGGTACTACAGATATTAATTATCTCAAGGCATATGTAATGTGGCTTCTCTCTGTATGTCTTGACTTCTAAGACCTCTGACGTTACCGAGTAGGTTTTCTTTGACATTAACATATATACGATCAGTTTCAATTCTGAATGGCCATAAATAATGTCATAACATATCCAGGAAACTGTGGGAATTCCAAAGCCATTTAATTTTATTGCTCTTCCAAATGCTGTAACTTAAGAAGGTTGATGACACAGCTGCCTATATTTTCACTTAGAGGACCAAATTCAGTAGAAAAAGGAAGAGCGCAATTTAGATCAGGAAAATAGAGTGCAGGGTGCGGGGGAAGAGACTGAACAGTCCTTCCCAGTGCCATTGTTCCCATGAAAATTGCTGCACTTGTTTCTACAGCAAGATGTACCTTACCTGTAAAAGATCAGCATGATTTTGCCAGTGGTTAGCTCTGCAAGCTTGTTTCAAGTTAGTTTCTGAACGTTGCGTTACCATACTAGGTAACATCATCAGCAGGATTTCCTTGTCCTGTTCGCCTTAGCTTATAAATGTCTTGTATGCCAGTTTGGTCAGTTGGTCGTGTGATTGGTTGTTCGTTTGGAGCTATATTTAAATTCTGAGCAGCTGATTGGTTCTCTTGTTGATTGGTCCTATGTTCAATATATTGCAGTGCTCCTGCCCGCTGATCAGTAGGGTAGCTTAGAAAAAAATAGTTCAGTCAAGATCTGATTCCTAACTTTGTCTGGGTCCTAAAGGAGCAAAAATTTCCAGTTCCCCAATTTCACAGCAAAAGGAAAACTGCCTCTCACTGTTTCCAATGTCCATGTTACTATTATGGGAACTTAAGATTAAATGAGGTGTGGAACTGAAAAATAAAAATAAATTAGATAATTTATTTTTTATTTTTCCAGTTCTACCCCTTGCTTTATCTTAAGTATCTAGATAGTCTAAACATCATTTTATATATATATATTTAAAAACGTATCTAGAACAAAAGCATATCACCAAGTTTACGGCAGGGCTTTTCTTCCAGGACCTGTAAGAGTTTTGGGATGGGAGGGAAATAAACACATAGTTGAGGATGTAGGAATTGACCCTCAGTGGTATGGGGGAAGGAATGAGTGAAGGCTTACTTGAGCCCAGGAAATGAGCCAGGAAGATTGCCCCCCCTCCATCTCAGCTACAGCAGCATTCCAGCAAACACTACTCATGCATTCCCATTTTACTGAACAAAACACCACTAGGAATAAGGCAGCCAACTCTCCAGACAAGCCAGTCTCCTGAAATTAGGCAGGTTTGGAGTTGGCTTCAAGTAGGGTCAGTATCATCATACGGAGGTACTTTTAACAAGCTAAGCTTCAGTTTTCTTTTCTGAAAAGTGCAGAGGAAATTCTGATAGAAACAAAAGATGTCCCAGTAGAAGAGAATATCTGTAACTGAGAATTGAACTGTGGAGTCCTAGTACTCTCTGAGCATGGGTATTTAGTTGCAGACATTTCATTACCCAACCAGGTAATATTATCAGTGTTAGTGAGTGAGGGTTTGGGTCCCTCTTTAAAATAATGCCCACCAATTTCACTGTGTGCTTTATAACTCTTCATCAGCATGAGGCTGCTATTAAAAATAACAGCTCCAGGGTGATTTGGTGCGCCTCTGATTAACCCTGCTTTGACTTGTTTTGACAGCAAATGCTTTACGTGGGCTCACGGGTCGGTGTTGCCCAAGTGAAACTGCATCAGTGTGAGACGTATGGGACCGCCTGTGCAGAATGCTGCCTGGCACGGGACCCCTATTGTGCCTGGGATGGTCTCACTTGCACCAGATACCAGGAATCGGGCAAACGTCGCTTTCGCAGGCAAGACATCCAGAACGGGAACCCCATGCACCAGTGCTTGGATCAAAACCTAACAGGTGAAGAAACTTGGGAATATATGTTTAGAGCGGTGGGGCAGAATGGGATGGCTTTTGTGGAGGGATACCTGCCATATCCTTGGCTTTCAAGGACACTGGAGAGTGAACATGGCAGCCACGCTGGTGCAGTGGTGAGAATGCAGTACTGCAGGCTACTTCTGCTGACTGCTGGCTGACTGCAATTTGCCAGATCAAATCTCACCAGGCACAAGACTGACTCAGCCTTCCATTCTTCAGAGGTCGGTAAAATGAGGACCTAGATTGTTGGGGGCAATATGCTGACTCTGTAAACTTAGAGAGGGCACTGTGAAGCTGTATATAAATGCTAAATGCTACTGCTGTTAAGATCAATTACAAATAGGCAAGGGGTCTGCTGTGTTACCGCTAATAATAACCTCTGTGTTCATGAAACAGAGATTTTCACAGGGATATGGTCAAATTTTTGCTTTGGACAGCATCTATTTTATGAAAGCATAAACAGAGTTCCACAATCTTCACTGGAATATTGGGAAAAAGAGGAGACCTTGGAGTCTTTGGCATCTTGAATTAACCCTGCAAACACTCTGACAATTTTGATTCAGTACTCAGTGTTTTGGATGGGGAATAAATATCTCTCTATTCCAAAGAGCAAAATAGCAGGTTGGGCCAGGCTTCAAACCCATTCCTACCTCCCACAGGTTCAGAAGCAATCCTGGACCATCGTGACCCTTTTATGGAAATGGGAGATTTCCGAATGATTGATATGTGGTAATAGCATATAGAAAGAGAGTAGAGTAGAGTAGAGTAGGAACAGAATAGAGTAGGAACAGAATAGAGTAGGAACAGAGTAGGAACAGAAGAGGATGGAACGGAACAGAACAGACAGAATTGGAAGTTTTGGAAGACTTCTAGTTCAACCCCCTGCTCAGGCAGGAACCATTTCAGACAAATGGCTGTCCAATCTCTTCTTTAAAAATTTCAATTTTTGCATTTTTGTAGTGGATGACTTTGACAGCATTGAGGAGAAGGTGGTATATGGGACAGAGCACAACAGTACCTTTTTAGAGTGCATCCCCAAGTCACCCCAAGCTGCAGTGCAATGGTTTGTACGCAGATCTCCAGAGGAGCTAAGAGATGAGGTGAGAGGCACTCTTGCTTTTGTTTTCTTAATAGCAATTTTCTTTATATCTTCTCCCTCTAAGTATATACACAAACACATACTCTCTCATGTAAATATATGAGTCATCTTATCACATTATTGTTCCTGCCGCATAAGTACCACATTTTTTGTCTTGACTGTTTTCTTACAACAGATATTGGTTATATAGAGCATTGTGGAGGGTCTGGGAGATCTTTATTTACTAAATTTCAGTGTGCAATACTGCTGTAAAAGCTGAGGATCTCTGCCAAATGTACCCCTTCCCATTCTGTTCCCTGTCTGTGAATAAAATTGTCTTCTCCTCAGGCTGTTAAGCACATATGGAGTTCTTGGTTACTTATGATGAACAGATAAGAAAGGTCTCCTCAACCTCTTCCAGTCATAAGGCAGAGCTACTCTTGCATCTGGTCGATGCGATCTGCCCTCCCTCTCATTCTTCAATCTGATTTTTTTTTAATTCTTGGCTCTATCTGGGCTAGGGGAAAAAAGAAAACAGATTATCATGTAACTGAGCCTACTAAAAGTAAAGCATTTTCCTCTCTCGATTTGTACCTCCTTTTCACGGAGGCAATACAATAGCTTGGAATGTCTTTTGTCAATAAACTACTCATGGCCATCATTGCCAAGACAGTGGTCCAAAGAGAAGGAAGTGCAGTTCTTATGAATTCTACTGAATGTAAGATGGATACAGCTTAAATAACAATGAAACAGCTGTTGTGGGCCTTCAAGACTTGGAAGTTATTTTTATAGCTGTTCCCCACACTCCAGCTCTGTTAATATGGGTATGTGAGTTGTTTAAGGCTGTATTAATTGACCCTGAACTCCTTAAGGAGGCATTCAGTGAGTTTGCTAAAACAGCAGAATTGATTACTGATGCAACCACACTCTATGGCAACCAGAGTGTTAATTTGCAGATGGCTGGGGTTCAGACATTGGCAAATTGACCATCAGTCAAGAACTACTCTGGCAGGCAAGCCCTGCCAAAGTAGTTTGGGAAGATTATTGTTGTTTGGGAAGGTTATTGTTGTGATGCTGGTAGAGAGTACACTAAGAAGAGGTACTTGCCATCTGCAGCTAAGAAGGAAAATGCCATATACTTAAAAGATTGATTGTCTTTCAGGCTAGAAAGCAATATTCCAGCCTTTCTTCCTACTGGAAGAAACCAAGGAGACCTCAGGAGTATCAACACAAGTATTCCAGCAACAGCAGCTGAAGTAAAGGAGAGAAGATGAGGAATAAAGAACTCTTAATTCAGAGTTCATTATGTGTGTGTAAGGCGGTATTCTCAAAAAGGTCCATCTGGGAATGGACCTACAGGGACAGGTCCTAGTCCACTGAGGGAGGGTGGTGGTGGCTTTCTTTGTCTGTCTATCTTCTGGTGATCAGAATGACACCTCACAAGACGTGTCATTCTCTGCTTGACATACTTTGATGTTCAGATCCACTGAATTCTAGTTCTATTAAACTCCTGATAAAGGTACTTTGTTATCCATTGTTGGTGCAATTCTCAGCTAAGAAATATTTGGTGATAGATTTGGTGATAAAGGGTATACGTTTTAGGGTAGTGAAATATCTGAGAAAATACTTTGACAGAAAATACTTTCAGAATAATTGTTTAAAATGTTATGCATATATTTTTTCACTGCAATTTCTTCAAAAAAAAAATACACAAAAATGTAACTCATGTGAAAGAGGAACTCATTAAATACATAAAATATTTAATTAAACAGACTGAACTATCCAGCAAGTTCTTATAATATTGAATTATAGCAAACAACATACTAACAACCCACCCACCCCAACACTAACAAATCCAAAATTCTATTTATTTTTCACTTGTACTCAAAGCATGGAAGGTAAACTTACATTCTTTCTGTGCAAATGATGGTCCAGCCTTATAGGAACAAATTAATAATTTAGGAGGTATAGACTCTCCAATTAATTTTAAAGCAGGTCTCTGGAATAGTGGCATAGCCTTGCTTTTCCCTTTCTTAAATATCCAGGCCTGATTTCAGTGGTTTGGAATACATATATAATTAGGGAGTGGCTCTCAGTTAAATTCTGTAACTTTCATTGCTGCTTCAATGTGTGATGATTTGGGGAATATTTTCCCACAAATTATTTTGCCATAGTCACAATATTTTTTTAAGAGGCAGACTTGCATATCAAATCTCAACAGAGAAGCTGGAGTAAAAATTACAAAATTATTAGTAAAGTTGCCTTTACAACATGTGCAAGTTCTGTGGAAACCAGAGAAATATCACGCAAGCAAAATGAAGACAGTCCGTGAATATTTAAAATTTAAAAAGCCCAAGAATTATTCTACATAATGTAAATAACATGTTATTAACTTTGCCACTTCATACTGAATTCTACTCCTCAGTAAATACTTATTTGTAACGGCAATTAGCCTTCAGGGAGAGGGTTTTCTTCCTGATGTTATCTGCATGTAGATTATTTAGTAATTAGCCCACTTTTATTACTTTATGTGTTACTCAAGGCAGCAAAGATACCCAATACTTCATCTTTCTCCTCTTTTTCCCCTCAACAACCACCCAGTTAGATGGGTTGACTGAGAATGACTGGCCCAAAGTCACCCAAATGCCTAAGGTAGGCCTAGAATTCATGGTCTCCTGCTTTGTAGGCCTTAATCATCACACCAAACGTTTGGTTCTTGGAATTGCGATTTCAGGGAGCGTGATGAGGAATTCCTGACTAAACTGAAAATAGGGAAATCCACACCCCCCCCCCCAACTGTGTGAGGTCTTTCTCCTCTTTTCCCAGGCTAGTCTAATTCCCAGGAAGTGAAGTGATAATACACAATGATTGGAGAGGAGGGTTTTTTGGGGGAGGGGGCAATTGGGATATAGAAGGTGGGAACTGATAAGTAAACACAGCTGCTGAGTTTCATTCCAAAACCATCATTTGCTAATAAGGGCAACGCTGGTACTTCCTGACGGTGCAGTGGTGTTAGACCGCCTCCCATGTCTCCCCTTCAACTTTCTGAAGGACCACACAGATTAATGGAATGTGCTTTTCTTGCTGGGCTCCTTGTTCTTTGTATAAAACAATAAATACAATCGTTTAAAAGAAGGGAAGAAATTAGCAAGATGTACGTCTATCTGCTATTTCTATTTAGTTTCAGTACTGGGTGACTTCCTTTATAAGGTGGGGCTTGTGTCAGGAGACTCAGCTGGAGTAAAATCCTTGCAGGTGAAGTCTGTTTGCAGGAGAAACCCATTTTGAGATGAACAAAAGTGCTGCAGAATTTTAGGTAGGTTTCTGGGTGGCCACACCTAGTTTTTAGGGACTGCTACTTCCTAGAAAAATTCCTTTTAGGCACTACTGCTATCATTACCCAGCATACAACCAGAAGTAAGTCACCCTAAAGCATTCACAACCTAATGGCAGAGTAAGGATTGGATTGGAATTAGAACATTTTTATAGATGGGGACATTTCAAAGCTAGAGAAATGTTTTCATTTATTGAAAATTGCCAGCTACCAAAGGAGTCTGGCAATTTGAGGGAAAGACAAGACTTCTGGGTCAGGATAAGCAGCGTGGTTTGGGAAAATGTTAGAGCCTGACTGGATGTTTCAGAAGCTCTAATACAAAGAGAGATGAAATAGTGCAAATGAAGTGGAAGCTTTCTTTTTGAGCAGCTCTGATCTTAGGGGCAATCTTTTATATATCTATCTATCAGATTGCCTGGATGCTCCTGTCTCTGGGCCCATTCTTTACCAGCATCTTCAGTATTTAGCAAGTGTAACTCTACTTTTTCTTTCTTTAATCAATCACAAAAACCCCTGGATTCTCAGAGTCACATCAGTTATGTGAAATAAGCATTTACTTTTTTTTTTTATTGTGCTTAGGGGGAGAAGCAAGATGCATTTCTCACCACAGGAATTTCCACACATACCCATACTGTTATCACTTCGTCATACACTGCTGCATCGGTTCAAGCATACTGTAATATATGTCAGAAAAGATGTGAATCATAGCATATTTAGAAATCTGTTTGGTTTTTTTGCAGGGGTGGGATTCAAATTTTTTAACTACTGGTTTTGTGGGCATGGCTTAGGTGGTAGGCATGGCTTGGTGGTCATGTGACTGGGTGGACATGGCTCGGTGGTCATGTTATTGGCTGGGCGTGGCCAACTCAATATCACTCACATCGAGGCACGCATCTCCTCGCCTGGCCTCTCATGACTGTGGGGATGCTGCAACAATTGTAAGTGTGAAAAATGGTCATAAGTCACTTTTTTCAGTGCCATTGTAACTTTGAATGGTCACTCTATACAACAAAGTACCAACAAAGGAGGGGGAAAAAACTCCAGAGGCAGTTTCTGTAAGCAATACCAGAATGTTTCCTTCCTGCCTTTCTTACATGATTAGGCCAATAATTTCTTCTAACCACCGGTTCTCCGAACTGTTTAGAATGTTAACAACCAGTTCTAGCAAATAGGTGCAAACTGGTAGAATCCCACCCCTGGTTTTTTTGTCCCTAAGAAAGACTGGGTCTACTTTTGCAGGAAAGTTTGCAATCAGGCCATTGCTGACCTTGACATTCCTGCAGTATCTCAATTAAATCAAACTGAATTTCTAGAAAACTCTTTATCTTCCTAATTTTATTTATTTCATTTTTTTTCCTGGCTCTTCCAGGTGAAAACAGATGAACGGATCATGAAGACAGAATACGGCTTGCTGTTTAGGAAACTCTTTCGTCAGGATACTGGAACTTATTACTGCAGGTCGCAGGAGCAGGGCTTTGCTCAGACTGTCAGCAAAATCATTTTGGAAGTGGTGGAGAATGAGCAGCTGGAACACATTTTCCAGAAGGAGCAGGAGGAGGAGCTGCCTCGGCCTCCGTGCCGAGTCCCCAACCTCCGCCTGCTACATGGACAACGATTGTGGTTCAAGGACATCATGCATCTGATCGGCTACGCCAATCTGCAGAGATTGGAGGAGTATTGTGAGCGGGTGTGGTGTGGAGATCGGCCACTATGGCATAAAGGCAAACTCCCAAAGAGCAAGAATCTGCTGGAGGGTGGCAAAAAGGGAAGAGGCAAGCAGCCCAGTGACAGAAACCGGGTGCCTAGGCAAGCGGTGGCCACTGAAGGAGACATGGAGCCAACTCTTGGCAAAAGCATCCTGTGAATTAAAATCCACCCTTCTAAAACTGTCCTTGCCCTGATGGGGGTCCCCCCTTGCCCTTGCTGATCAACTGAGCCTATGGACATCCCTTCCTTCTGTCAAAATGCTGGAGATTTAACAAATACCAAAGTATTGTTTTTCTGTCCCATACTGACAACCCTGGTGTGAGTTGTATCACACCTCACATGGTATCAAGTCGAAGAAAGGGTGGAGGTGGCCTCACTCATGATCGTGTGTGTTAAATGCTGCCATCCCTGAAGCCTCCTGTTCAGTACGGCTGAGCTACATGACTCAGAAAAGGCGCCATTAAGGATCTAATCATGTGGCTGGGAGACTGTTACCAGCAACCAAGGAACAGCAGCATCCGTTCCTCTTACAAGACTGAGAAGAAACAATGAGGAGATGGAAAGAATGGATATGTGTAATCCATGCTCTTCTGGAGGATCAGCCATAGATAATAGTCACCCTTTTGAAGGAGCAGATGGAGCTTCCAGTGACCTATTCTCCCCATGCTACATGCTGGGTATGGGTGTGACCATTGAATTGTGCGTATCACGGTACCTGGAGGTGCAAAGCAGATCGTTACAGCACTTCCAGCCTCCTGCTTTTCCTTGTTCTGCCCGACAGGTCAAAAGCAATGACAATTCTTTGGGCATGATTGCATATGAGTTTTTAAAAGGCCAGTTACTTTACAATACGATTTGACCCTCATGCTTGTTTATACCACATGTGTCCTTCTCATGCACTCTCTTTCAAATCACCAACGGTTGGAGGAGAAACTAAACCTGACAAAGAAATGAGCAAACAAATAAACAGAAACCTCAGGGGTAACATGGACCAGCCAAAAAATAATAATAAAATCTTATGCAGCTTATCCTCAGCCCCGCCTTCTGCTGTAATTACCCCCCCCCCTCCTCCCAAGGTTCTGTTGAAAAACAGAGGAACCAGTAAGCTAACCTTGGCCACATAATGTAGTTTGGTTCACCTATTGCTGAATTTCCTGTATTTTGCTTGCCAATATCTTATCCTGTCCAGGAAAGTCTGACTTCTCTGCACCACCTCTGATTATTTCCTTGCCGGCCACTTTTTCTTGGGCAATACAACCATCCGCCACTGGAGGCCCACATAAGCATTTGCCTTCAACAAGCCTTTGCCTTTCATGGACTTGTTTTAATTCCTTTGTTTTAAAGATTGACAGCTAAGTGAAAACTAGCAGTTTGTTCAACAAATAAATTAAATCTTACATAGCAAGCTCCGACTTGGGGGTAATTTTACACCTGCTTCTTGACTTTCATCAGCATAATGAATAGTTGGGACAAGCTGGTCCTGGGATCGAAATGCCTCGTTGAAATGGTTACCAGGTAGCGCACTGATTTCTTCCTAGTACTTCCTAGGTATTCCTAGTCCAGAGCAGGTGTTCTCAACCTTTTTTTCGGTTTTCGTTCACGGCCTCTCGTGAGCGCAATTTACCTCTGCAATCCCTTTCGTGGTCACCGTTAGCTGCCTATTTTTTACCATCTTCAATGTTTATTATTCTGAACTGTATCATGTAATATATATGTAATGTCTTTATAACATTAAGACAAAGTCATTGGTAGTAGCTGCCAAAGTGGCTTAATTCTATGCCGACATAATTGTAATTGCCAACCATTTTTTTAAAAAAAATACACAAAAATATACGATGCATAGCAGCTGCAGCAGGATGATGCCCCCTAGAAATATGGCATGGACCATGTTGAGAACCACTGATCTAGAGTGCAGAAAGCAACGCTCAAGTTGCTGTAAGTTAGTGAATTGGCTAGGAGGTGTAAACTAGGTAACCAATTTCTAGACAAACTGGCCAATAACGGAGACCTGTTCAAGAGCAAATGGATAGATACTGATGCAGATAGTGATTCTTTTGGGACTCCTTTCAGATAATGACTTATTGCAGATAGTGCTGATTTCGAAGTAGACGAGCTCTCCCGTCCTCCAAGAAATACGAATCATTGTGGGATTTTTTTTAATGCATATTAAAGAAAGAAGGAAAAACTGCAAAGGCACTACACCCACCTTTCTCTAAATCAGTGGTTCCCAAACTTTTTCAGTCCACCGCCCACTTGGTGCTACAAACTCATCCTTGGTGCCCCCCACCCAGGGGTGGGATTCAAATTTTTGTGGGCGTGGCCTAATTTGAGGGTGTGGCTTGCTGGTCATGTGACTGGCTGGGTGTGGCTTGGTGGTCACGTGACCGGGTAGGTGTGGTTTGGTGGTCACATGACTGAGTGGTTGTGGCCAGGTGACTGGCAAACCAAATACAAGTGGTCGTCACTTAATGGCTGGTTGCTTAGCAAGTGTTCTAATTTATGACTAGCCTCCCCAGAGCTACTTGACCTGTTTTTGGAGTTTTGACAGCCACGCACACACATACACACACACTCCCTTCTAACCCTGCTGGAGCATTGGTCATTGGACTAGAATTGGCAAAGCATCTCTGATTAGACTCTAGTAGTGAATAGAATCTAATCAGAGATGATTTGCCGATTCTTTTATTTTTATTTCTTTATTTTATGTTGCTGAATTGCATTGACATGCGTGTCCCTTCTTGTGCACAGCCCAGAAACTTTTGTGATTCTTTGCAGCAAAAATTACCGACCTCTGGCTTTGCTCTACTTTTCAAACGCTCCGCCATTGCTGTGTTCTAGGTGCCGGCCCCTCAGGTCCACCCCATTGGGCCCGCTGCATTGGAGGGACCTGCCCAAGCAAGTCCGAGCAGAGCAGTGCACCAAGTCAATGGGGTGAGCCTCAGAGAGGGAAAGAGAGAGAGAAAGAAAGAAGGAAGAAAAGAAAAAGGGACAGAAAGAAAACGGGATAGACAAAGAAAGAAGGGCGGGATGGAAGGAAGGGATAGAGAGAAAAAGAAATAAAGAGGGAGGGAGGGAGGAGAAAGATAATATCTATTCTACTCCAATCACCTGCTCCAGCAGGGTTAGAAGGGAGTGTATGTATGTGTGTGTGTGTGTGTTCTTGTACTTTACCAGTACATTTTGGTTTTGCCTTCTTCAAAATTGGCACTGTAATACATTGGGGAAAAGTAATTTTTTAGGGCGGAGGTCTGGTCCAAAGGATCCAGTTTAAAGCCTCAACAAAATGTGAGAGCTTCCTGATAGTCTTGACCATGTTTTGTCCACAAAACCTTTAATTAGAAGCCAAAGATGTTTCAATGTTCTGGCAAAGATGCTGGCAAAGATGTTTCAGTGTGGAAAAGGGCCTCTAAACTAGGCCTCATTTCAATCTGATGCATCAGGTCTTTCTCTCTCTTTCTCTCTTTCTCTCGTTCCCTCTCTCTCTATCCCTTCCTTAACCTATCTACCTATTTTCTACCCAGGCAGGCCTGGGCTAATCCTGCATCATCCCGTTTCCCCTTTCAGAGGCCCCGGCCCTTAATCTCCCCGTTTCCTCACCCACGACCGCCTCTTTTGTCATCCCATGGCTAGCTGCCAGGGAAGGCAATCCAGGGCTTTGCCATTGTTGTCGCTGGGCTCCCCGCCAGCCCATGTCACCCTTGTCATGAATGCCTGCAGCGGCCATGTTTTTTTCAGTGCAGCTGGACTGCATAAATTAGGCATGACTCATTTAATCATCTTGTTTAACAACAGAATTCTGGGAGCAATTGTGGCCATAAATTGAGGACTATCTGGGATATTTGCTGTAGCAAATAGGAAAGGGTATTTACACTGGTTCAATTGCTGAACCTCATTGATAGAAAACCACTGTGGAATGAAATCAATTTTATTTATTTCCTATATTTATAGCACACCTTAATTGTATATTAGTGAAAGCTGTGTTCTCTCTCCTTTCTTCCCCACAACAACCTTGTTAGGTAGGTGGCCTAAGAGAGAGTGACCCAGGCAGCTTTAATCCCCAATTGAGCAATTCATGGTTTCCCAGTTTCTAAGTCAAAATTAAGGACAAAGACCACAGAATTCCAGAGAGCTGTTAGCAGAGACAAGCAGTATTAGAACAATATCTGCAAAGACACTGAAGAAACAGACATGGAAAACCAAGGAAAGTTATCCAAAAGTTCTCTGAACTCAGAAGGAGGTCACAGCCACAAATTGGGTAGTAAAGGATGCTAATGGACAGATAGTAACCAGTTCAAAGGAGATCAAACAAAGTTGGAAGGAGTACGTGAAAATACTATACTGTACAGTACAAATGTCACCATCTTTAGAAGATATTCCTTATATATCCCTTTCTTTCTATGGTCGATAATAATTTATGAACTTTGAATGCTGCCCAGCTCTCAATGCCGCTCTACCATGCATCTTGAAATCTAGCCTAGTGTAAACTGGAGGTGCTGAAGGTGTGGTTAACGACTTAAAATTTGGTGTAATTTTACGACGCAAACCTAAACCATCAGGATGGTTAATAGGTTATCTAACCCAGATAATTAGGTTAACTCAGCTAACCATGATTTAGCGTAAAAGCCAGAGGTTTTCCTTTGCTTTTCAAAATCTGGCTGCCTTTTTGCTGGAAATCTTGGCGTAATGAGGTTGCACGCATATGTCTTGCCTTCCTCGCACCCCACCGTTGCTCCCCCGAGAGAACCCCCTTCGCTCACCTGCGGAGGAGGTTTCATCTCCAGCCGCTGCCAGAGGGGAACCGGGGAAGAAGTCAGGCTTTCCATCTCTCTCGTTCCGTGGCTCTGGGCATCACTTGTTGAGCTTTCTCGGTGACTCGGAGGCAGAGGCGGACCAGGCCAGGAGAACTGCCCCGCCGCGGGTCCATCCCACCAGCCGCCGGGAGGCCTTCCTTGCAGTCGGCTTGACCCGGCCCAGGTGGGGACCTGTTGTGGCTCAGTGCAGGCAGCGCTTCTGGGATGGGAAGGTGAATCCCGCCTGCAGCGCTGCGCTGATCCCCTGTGCCTGCAAAAAACCTCCAGCCGCCACGTGTTTTTTTGGTGCGGCTGGACTCCAGCCGTACCGAAAAAACACACGGCGTCTGGATGCTTTTTGAAGCAAAAATTACTGACCTCTGACTTTGCTTGCTCTGCTTCTCCAATGCGCCGCTGTGGCCATCAGCGATTGTTGCACATGCACATTATGTTGTGTATGTGCAATAAGGACTGACTGGCCAGGGAACGGAGAGGAGCAGGGCCAGGCAGGGGCTCATTTTACCGGTTCTCCAACTACTGGGAACAGTAATGAACTGGTAGAATCCCACCCCTGAATTGCGCCCTGCGAGGGCCCCCCCTCCAGCGCCCCCCCGCCCCTCTCAGTGCCCCCCCAGGCATTCCACCGCCCCCCCCCGGGGGGTACCGCCCACTTTGGGAACCACTGCTCTAAATGAAGTGAATATTTGAGTAATATTTGCCGTGTTTGCAAGTATGCAAAGACATTATAACAGGAAGAAAAGAGGAATTCTTATAAAGCAGATCAGCAAATGCAATTGGGGCAGCCTCTCAAGCTTCCACTCCAAATTCATCTTGAAACTCCTATCATCATCCCCACCACCTTCATCCTGGCTTATTTTATTTCCAGCGGCCATTGGGTACATATGGAGACAACAGGCTCACTCTCACGTCTTTCTAACTAGAGGATGAAGATTGTTAGAGGTTGTGTTCCCATGATGGTGCTTTCATCTCATCCCCAGCCTGCTATGAGGGAAGCCTACATGTGTCTTTATTCCAATTTAAATGTAGAGTTTTCCCTTTTCTGACTCTTGCTATGGGCATGTTCTAGGACAGTGATCCCCAATCTTTCTTATGTCGCGGCCCGGTATCCCCAACCTTTTTTATGGCGCGGCCCGGTACCGGCATTAGCTGGGCGCCGCCATCTTTTTTTGATGAAAAAGTGCTTCCGGTGAGCTTTTCCGGGTAGAAATGGCTTTTTTGATGAAAAAGTGCTTCCGGTGAGCTTTCTACCCAGAAAAGCTCACCGGAAGCACTTTTTCATCAAAAAAAGATGGCGGCGCCCAGCAAACCAGCGGCCCGGTAGGGCTTGTTCCACGGACCGGGACCGGTCCGCGGACCGGTGGTTGGGGACCCCTGTTCTAGGACACTTCACTAGGAATAATTGGAATAATTTTATTGTCACTTTGAATGTACACTAATCGGCATACATTAAAATGAAACTATGTTGCATACAGCTCTCAAAGGGTATCCACCTCTAATATAAACATAAATATGACAAGATAAATAAATAAAAACAAAATTTTGCATGTACCCATGCATATTATACGACATGGAGAA